GGGCCATTTCTCTCCCTCTGTGTGTGACGCTGTGGGATGGACGGTGACTTCAGCTGAGCTTTGAAGCCAGAGGGCCTCAGGCCTCAGGGATCAGGGGAGGGAGCTGGAGCCTAGGGCTTTTGCTCTCTGAGGATCTCAGCTTGAGCGGTTTCTTCCCCTCAGGTCACAAAGGAACCCAGACCACCTTCTGAATCAACAGGGAGGTAGCACTTTTTTGTTGTTGCTTTCGAAACAGTCAACTCAATCTGTAGAGCAAGCTGGCCTCTCTTTCACTCACAGGGCCCCCTGGCCTCTACCTCCTGAGCGCTGGGATTAGAGCAGCCAGGGGGATTCAAATCAGAGGGATTTCTCAGCTTCAGCACCTGCAGAGCGGAGGGTAGGAATGGGTGCTGGACTTTTATATCCGGTCTGGAGGAGCCAAGACAAGTCCAGGAGTCTAACCAAACAAGTAAAGGTCACTGCCCTGGGAAAGCTGTCAACTTCTCCGGGCCAGCTACCTTTGCTAGCACTCCACGCCACTGGGGCTGGCTATTTCGCTGTCCTCCCAGTTTCCTCAGGCTTCCCGGACCACGCGTACACAAAGTGTCCTGGACACACCATCAGGCTGAGAGTGAAGACAAGCTTAAGGGGGCAAATAGCTCAGTGGGCATCCCTGAGACGCAGGGGGCTCCTTCCCTAGCAAAACAGTAGCCGGAGGGGGTGGGGAGGAAGCAGTATTCAAACAGAACACCCAGCAATACCCGCCCCAGGCTGCTGTGTGTCTTGATCCCCTTAGCAGAGCTCCGGATTTATACCCCCCCCCCCAAATTCGGCTCCTCTGTTCTCCTGTGAGGAGGACAGAGAGGCACTACCAAATTCTAGGTCTGGTTGCCCTTGTCAACACATTTCCCAGTTTGGGCCAACGCTTGCTCAGCACTTCCTGTGCCTCGTGGGCTCGTTGGTTCTCAGTGCTGCTCCTTCCCAGAGAACTAGGAGAAAGGGCCGTAGATGGAGGGAGAGGAGGTCTGTGGCTCTCCAGCGGGTCTCATCCTCTGAACGGACTCCTGTGCAGGTACCTGGGCTTGGCCAGGTGTGGGGAGAAAAGGTGATTCCTACAGAAATGTTCAAGGGCTGGGAACAGGATGCTGAGGCGGGCCCAGGGCGTCGGTTGCTGGGCAGGCGTGTCTGGGGTAGGGTGGGAAGGCATGAGCAAAGCTCCCAAGTGTCTCCCTGTCCTTGGCTGTCAGCGCTCTCGCCCAGCCGGTGATCCCCACCACCACTTAAAGCAGCCCTTTTGGCTCGGCCAGCTGCTTTCTGTAGCTGTAACACGGGCAAGGCACCCCAGGGGTGGCCCAGCACACAGTCAGTGCCTTAGTGTTTGCTATGGTTGAAGTAAGAGTGAAAAAATAATGTGGGGAAAAAAAGAAAAGAAAACAATTACTAGGGACCTCAGCAGGGATGAAACAGGACCAAGTTCTAAGGAAGCTTCTAGACCATAGAAGTTCCTGTGGGGGCCGAGGCTATCCTGTCTCCGCATGTGTTTGAATAACAGTGTGCACATGAATGTAGAGGTCAGAGGTCAATGTCAGGCATCTCCTCCATCACTTTCCACCTTATTTTTCAAATAAAAAAAAAAGGGTTCATTTATTTTATGACTATGAGTGTTTGCCTGACTATTTGAATGTGTATCACGTGTGTGTCTGAGGCTCACAGAGGTCAGACGAGGGCATCAGATCCCCTGGAGCTGGAGTTATGAATGCTTTCAAACCACCACATGAGTGCTTTGAACCAAACCTCGGTCCCTGCAAGAGCAGCAAGTGCTTTTAACTGCTGAGCCTTCTCTCCATACCCTCCACTTTGTTTTTTGAGACAGGGTCTCTCTGAATCTAGGGCTTATCAATTGGTTGGACTGGTGGGCCAGCAAGCCAGGGAAATTCCCCTGTCTCCACCCCCCAGATGGGTGCTGCTACCCCACGTGCTGGCTTTTTATTTGGGTGCTAGAGAGCTGAACTCGGGTCCTGGCGCTTATGCAGCCAGTGAATTCATTACCACTGAGAGAGACATCACCCTACCTCCTCTACCACAGGAACACCTCTCTGTGCTCCTGAGCGAGTCTCATGATATAGCCTTGCCTGTCCTTGAATCACCATGTAGCCCAGGTTGAGCACAGACTCAAAGCAATCCTCCTGCCTCAGTCTCCTCCCTGTTAGGGTTACAGGCATGCACCGCCTCACCAGCTACAGGCTCTTCTACTTGACAGTACTTCGGCTTCCGCGCTGAGTCTCAGACAGTGGGTTATGAGGAAGACAGTGCATGTTAAAGAAGGGAAGTCACCAGTTTGATGGGTACTCAGTCTTGGAGACTCCTGTCTCATTCTCCACCAGCCTCAGAGCTGTGTGCACTAAAGCTGCTGGCTGGCCATCTCCTCTGCTGGCTCCAAAAGGCCTGGTATCCAGGTTGGAAGTTGCAGGGATCTGCAAAGCAGAGAGTAGAGGCGGGGAGAGGAAGCAAAGTCTTCGCGCTATCTGCAGGCCCTTTGTGCATGTGACCTTGTTTTCTGCATAGGGCCTTTGTGGAGTGTGCATTCAGCCCAGCTCCTTTCCTTGGGCAGAAATCTCTTGATCCACTCAACTAAATGCATGTCTGCCTTATTTGATACCTGACCCATAGATTTTTAATGTATAACCTAACAACCAGTATACTGTGTGTGTGTGTGTGTGTGTGTGTGTGTGTGTGTGTGTGTGTTAAGCGAAGATCAACCTCAGTCACTGTTCCTGAATAGTCAGTCCACTTGGTTTTATTGTTGTGTTTTCAGGACAGGGTCTCTCTGTGTAGCCCTGGCTGTTCTAGAACTCACTCTGTAGACCAGGCTGGCCTCGAACTCACAGAGACCACTTGCCTCTGCCTCCTGAGTGCTGGGATTAAAGGTGTGCACCACGGCACCCAGGCTCTCGCTGGGGTCTGGGGCTTGCAGGTTAGGCTGGCTGAGGAGTTGGCTCCAGCAGGGGATTACAGGTGCCCACCACACCTGCCTCAAACTTAGGTGGCGCACACGTCACCAACCGAACCATCCCCCAGTCCTTGCTCTTAAAAAATAATAATAATTAAAATGATTACATCATTTCTCCCTTCCCTCCCATCAGTTTCTCCTGTATCCCTCCTCACTTTCTTAAACTGACAGCCTCATGTCTTTGATTGCTATTGTCACACACACACACACAAATATGTAAACACAACCTGTTGAGTTCGTTTAGCATTGCCTACATGTATATGATCAGGCTGGCTGCTTTGTATTAGATAGGCACTCAGGGGCTGGTGCCCGGGAAAGACTAATTCTCAGGGATCCGTAGTAGTCTATGGTTCTTTGTTTAGGGGTGCATCCCCCTGACCCCCCCCTTTTAAAAACACAGTTGAATCTAGCCCAGGCTGGCCTCAAATTCACTCTGTAGCCAAGGCTGGCCTTGGACTCCTGATCTTTATAACTCTGCTTCCCAAGAACTAGGGTTACAAGTGTGTGTCACCGCTGATGGCTAAGGACCTATTGAATGTATAAATGAATCAATGAATCAATCAATCAATCAACAACAAAAGAACCTTTCTTATGAGAGAGGAGAGGGAGGGAGAAAGAGAGAGAGAGCCATATAAACACATAGATGGATCTGGTAAGCGGGTAGAAAGGCAAGCTAATGAAGTTGACTTGATTGATGAACAGGAAGGCTTTGCAGAAGAAAAAATGCTGAAAGACATCGGGGATTTATCATGTGACTAGAGAGAAGTTAAGGAGGACCCTAGCGTGAGATGCAGGACACACTCAGGGGGATGCTGAGTGGCTAGAGCAGGGCTAAGGTAGGGAGGAAGAAGGTGGGAGACAGAGCGGGAGTGGAAGATTGCTCAAGTACAAAGCCAAGGATGGGTTCTGTGAGGACCATTGCAGAGAGAGTCAGAATGGGACCTGAGTCTCAGGAAGTTCAGTCTGGCAGCTGTAGGGAGGATGTCTGGCTGGGACGGAGATAACAGGCTGGTGGCTGTGGAACACTAGACTGGCAGAATCAAGTCCACGGAAACCCTGTGGGAGCAGACCCTGAGATGGTCACACGGGGCAGTGGTGCTGGAGGTGACAGAATTATTTCCCCTCTCAGGCTTCTGGTCTGGATGGACTGTGTTGGTTCAGGAAGACAGAGGCCCAGTGTGTCCAAAAAGCCTCTGACACTGAGGATCCTCCCCCCCCAACTGTGGAAAAAAGCCATGTCAAACCGACAGGCCTGCTGTAGAGTTGAGGATGTCTGTAGGGTGGGTTGGGGGCACAGACAGAGAAGGGACCAAGAAGTGTAGGAGACGGTTTTGCCAAGGAGGTCTAGTCTAGAAGAGAGGAAGCAGAGAGAATGTAGCAGGAGTCTCACAGCAGAAAAAAGTTCAGCCATGATGGGGTTGCCTAGGGCTCCACACAGAGCTTCAAAGGACTGGATAAAGTTCCGTGCTGACAGGCCAGGCGAGGGACCACAGGGAAGAAGGCTGGTGCTCCAGTGGCCCAGCTTGCCCCCTAGTGTGAGAGGGCATCCCTGACAGGGTCTCTGTGGCCCTGGGCATCAGCTTCGGAGGACCTGCATCTGGCTAGTAGGAATAAAACAGGCTGGCCATCTCAGAGAGAGCCTCAGCTCCTCCTGCCTGGTCACCTGTGAAAGAGCAGGTCTTTTGAAATGCTCCTGCCCTTTGGTTATTCCCTGCTACCAGGTATACTCTCAAGTTGGCTCTGCCTGGTGTGGGGGAGGGGAGGAAAGGGCAGAGAGACAGCAGAGCATAGGACCTAGGCCTGACCCTGGAACCTCAGGGGTTCTCTGAGTCTTACTAGGTGCCAGGGAGCTTTCTAGAAACTAAGGACATGGCAATAGGAAAACAGAGCCATCGTTTACCTTCTGGAAGATGCCCCTGGGGGAGGCGGGGAGTCCCCTGGCTTAGGGTGCCTCCTGGGGGCTGGGGAGGGTGGGTGACCTCAGCGGGTCCCTGTGTGTGCCCCTCTACAGGTGTTCTCTGTGGCGCCCTCGTTTGAGGTGAATGGCCTTTCGAGAGCTGTGCCTCTGGGCTTGCCCTACCAGGACTTCAAGAGAGATCTCTCCGACTACCGAGAACGGGCCCGGCTGCTCAACAGGGTCCGGAGGGTGGGCTTCTCCCACATGCTGCTCACCAGCTCGCAGGCGCCTCTGGCTCCTTTTCAGCCTCAGGCCAACGGGAAGGAGGGAGAAGAGGAGGAGGAGGAGGAGGGGGAGGAAGAAGAGGAGGAGGAAGAGGAAGAAGAGGAGGAGGAAGAGGAAGACGAGGAGGAGGAGGAGGAGGCAGGGGCCCTTGGGGAGGTGCTGGGGCCTCGAAGTGGCTCCAGCAGCGAGGGGAGCGAGAGGAGCACTGAGCGCAGCCAGGAGGGTGCCCCATCCACACTGCTGGCTGATGATCAGAAAGAGGCCAGGGGCCGGGCCTCCATGGCTGACGGGGACCTAGAGCCTGAGGAGGGCTCCAAAACGCTGGTGCTCGTCTCTCCTGGTGACATGAAGAAGTCGCCAGTCACTGCCGAACTGGCCCCTGACCCTGATCTGGGCACCTTGGCTGCACTTACCCCGCAGCACGAGCGGCCCCAGCCTACTGGAAGCCAGCTGGATGTATCAGAGCCGGGCACACTGTCCTCCATCCTCAAGTCAGAACCCAAGCCCTCAGGACCTGGAGCAGGGCCTGGGGTTGGGCTGGTGGCCCCTGGGGCCGGGGTCATAGCTGTCACCTCCTCACCCTTCACCAAAGTCGAGAGGACCTTTGTTCACATTGCAGAGAAATCCCACCTCAATGTCATGTCTTCCGGAGGACAGGCCTCCAGGCCAGAGGAGCTGAGTGCTGGGGGCGAGCTGGGCCTGGAGATGCTTTCTGAGGGAGGCATCGCAGAGCAGGGGCCCCCACTGCCTCTGGAGAATGGCGTGGCTTTGTCAGGGCTGGATGGGACTGAAATGGAAAGTTGTGCCCTGTCAGGCCCTCCTGGGGAAACACCCTCAGAAGTGGTCACAGACTTATTACCCCAAGGCCCAGCCCTTGCTGATGGGCCAGTCCCAGCATCCCCACTGGAGCCCATTGCCAAGAAAGGGACTGCCGTCTCTCCCAGCCGCCATGCCCTGCCGGGTTCTCGCCCCAGGAGCCGTATTCCTGTCTTGTTGTCTGAAGAGGATACAGGCTCAGAGCCTTCAGGCTCACTGTCGGCCAAAGAGCGGTGGAGCAAGAGGGCGAGGCCACAGCAGGACCTGGCTCGGCTTGTGATGGAGAAGAGGCAGGGGCGCCTGCTGCTGCGGCTGGCCTCAGGAGCCTCTTCCTCTTCCAGCGAGGAGCAGCGCCGGGCCTCTGAGACACTCTCAGGCACAGGCTCTGAGGAGGACGCACCTGCCTCCGAGCCCACGGCAGCCTTGCCCAGGCGGGCATCAACCACCCGGAGCAGGATTCCCCGCCCCATCAGTGTGTCCACATCCACAGAGAGCCAGCAGCTTCCCGGCAGACCTCAAGGTGCGGCCTCGTCTGACACGGCCATCACCAGCAGGTGAGAAACCCTTGCCAGTACTGGTTGTAGGCAGAGGGACCACAGAGGACTTCCGGGGACCTCTGGGCACTTCCCAGAGCCAATGTTCGAGGCTGTGACCATCCCCCCACCCCCCACCCCCGCAGGTTACCTCCCTGGACTCCCATCTCCCAGCTGGGCACTGTGTCACTTGTGACTCAAGTGTTAGCTCTGTCACTGGGCTCAAGGGAACAGAAATAGCCAAGATTAGAGGGAATCAGGGAGGCCTGGGGGAGGGGCGACCAGCAGGGCCCCCACACGGCTCCTGGTATGCCACAGGACATTTGAAACCAAAGTGTAAAGTCTTGATCATCCAGTAACTGGCGTGAAATGGTAATTTGCATTGATGTTAACATAAGTTCGTTCTAGATGAGAGTGCAAAACCCCATGGGAATTTTAAAGATAGCGCCAGACCCCTAAGGAAAACCTGTAGCTGGCTCCTCCAGCCATGGCCCCAAAGGGCCTGCACTGCAGGGTGGACCACCAGGCCTCTGTTTACTCCTCTTCCACCTTACCGGGCTCTGCCGAGAAGGCAGCTCTCTAGGGCTCAATGCTCAAAGGCATTCTGAAAACATCCCCTCTGTTCCCCACCCCCTCGTCCTTTTCTCTTGCCCTCTGCCCCCCCTCCCCCACCCCACCTCCCCGCAGGCTCCAGCTGCAGAAGCCCTCAGGGTCGGCCACTGCTGTTGACCTCCGTCCCAAAAAGTCCACCAGCCGGGGTCCAGGTCGCGCCCAAGTCTCCAGGCCTGCAGCGCCGCCCCGCAGCTCCGGCCTCCCCGCCTCCACCGCGCGCCACCCCGGCGGGTCCTCGCGGAGCCAGTCCCTGTCCCGCAAAGAGAGCTCCTCCCCCTCGCATCAAGCCCGGACCGGTGTCCTCCCACCCCGGGGGGTCCTCCAAGCTAGATCTCAGCCCGAGGTCTCCCCGGGGGGCCCCAAGAAAGGACCCAAAGGGAAACAACTGCAGACTCAGCGCGCAGCAGCCAAAGGCCGGGCGGCGGTCTCGGAGGGCCGGCTCGGGACCAGATAATGGCACCCGCCCGCGGCTCTCTGCGGCACCCCCTACCCTCGCCCCGGTCCCCACCCGCAGCCGGCCACACTGGAACAGCTCCCAGCACAGCCTTACGCGCCCGCGCGCCACCGCGGCCCTCGCTTCCCGCCTGCACTCACCAGGACGCACGAGAGCACACGTTGTGCCCAGCAGCCAAGCCAACCCACTGACCCAGGAGGGTGCGTGTCTCGGGTCCTCTCTCGGCGTCCTCCCTCCCTCCTGCCTCCCCTCTGCAGGAACGGGCTCACAGCACATCCTTTGCCCCGGGAAGGCTCAGTCACTTACACCACCGCCACCGAAGACTCCGCTTCCGGAGCCAGTCCCCCTTCACGCACCAGATCTTGCCTGATCTCTAGCCCCTCCCACCCAAGGGCCTTACACTTGCTTAACACCTCGAGCGGCCCACCTTGTCCTCATTCCCGTCTTGCAGCCAACCCCCCCCCCCCAAACTTACCCAACAGGAGAAAACAGCCTCAAATTCCAGATTTGTGCAGGCTCTGGCCTGCCCAGTCTCCTAGGAGCCGTGGTGGCAATAGAAGGCCAAGCTGGGATCGGGGAAGTGGGACCCAGGGATCATTGGTCTATTTAGGCTGAAGGGATATCTCTGGCCTTGGTAAAGTCAGTTCTATGAGGTACAGAGAATGGGATTCTTCGCGCCCTGTGTCTCTGGGGAACAGAAATCCCTTTCCTGAACAGGAATGAGCTGGGCCTCTGGAAGCTAAGCTTTCCTGGGCAAGTGTTCGGTAGAGGGAATTTGGGCTGGGGCTTTAAAACGGCTACTCACTTCTCTGGTCCTCTGGCCTAGTACTCAGGACCTGTTACCATCAGGAATTCCTTCCTGCTCTCTAACCTCAATCCTGCATACTGCAGTTCCAGCCAGCTCTCCTCTCTCTGTGAGTTCCTCACAGGTGGGGAGAGGCTGGTTATCACCTTTCTGTGTGTTGCTCATTTGGGGGTTCAGGGACTGTGCCCTGGCCCTTGTCATCCTACCTTGCCATCTCTGCTGTGGGAAGAGGCTGGCTCAGGCACCCCCCCCCAACCCCAAGTGGGCAGAGGAAGCAGGATGAGGCAGGCTGGGCTCCCTGAGGCGGAAGGCCCATCTCACTTTAGGTTGTACACCATGCCAGCTGGTGCCCTCCCTCACCCCACCCCAGGTCACCCTGGGCCCCTCTTGCTCTGACACAGCCCACACATGCTGAGCTGCTCTGTGCCTGGCACGGGGCCTCTTCCTCCTCGTTCTCCTCCTCCTCCTCTGGAGTTCTGGCTTCTGCATAGCTCGCCCACCTCATCAGGAGCCTCAGCTGCTAACATCTAGGGCAAGCAGCGTCCTGGCTACAGAAGGGGCAGGCACTTCCCACAGGCCTCCTAGAAAGCACTGGCAGCCTCCATCCCCTCTTCTGGCCCCTGGCCCCTCCCCTGAGCCACAGAGGGCAAACGAGACCTTCAGATGAAGGAAGGCCTCATGTGCCAGCGGTCCCGCCAAAACTACACCCATGATGACTGGCTGGGAGCGGCTCAGTGCCAGCTAAACTCCTCATGGAGAGCCAGCAGGTCTGGGCAGTTGCTTCCATGCCAAGAAGGCAGCTCTACAGACCAGCCAGGGGAGGACACCAGGGTAGATAGCCTTTGAGGTCTGTCCCACTTGGACCCAGACGCTCCCAGAACACTCAGGAAACCTCTCTGGATTCAGTTATCTTTGTCACCCCCAAGGCCCTCAAGTCACCCCCCTAGCCTAGCAGACGGGTGGAGGGTTCAATTCCTCCCACCCGGAGCTTTTATGAATGACAATCAGCTCATGCCAGGTGGGGACCAGGGTGTGACCCCAGTGCCTGGGGCCCTGGGCCTGCTCCTTGCCACCAACCGAACTGTGAATGTAGGCCTTTTCAGTCTCACTTCTGCCATAAGGACCAACACCACCCTAATCTGGAGATGGGAGGAAGGGGAGGCCTGAGAAAGCCCCAGGCTCACCCGACCCCCAGCTCCCCCCAGTGCTTGAGCAAGATGCAAAACCTAATCTACTCTTGGGATTCCAGACCTCCACAGGGCTCCAACTGACCTCAGGCCTCTGAGTCAATAAAGTCATCAGGCTAGGAGGAATTAGGGACAGAGGGCCAGTAGAGGTGGGTGCTGAGGGGAAGGAAGCAGGGCATTGGGAGCCACACCTCCCCATGCTCCCACCCCCACCCCCGAGCTGCAGCCTTTCCCGAGACTCATCCCCTGCGCTAGGCCCCTGAGGTTCCTCTTCCAGAAGCACCATCACCCCTCATGTCCCCATCCTGACTGCCCTTGTCACTAGCTCAGAAGTGGGGTGTGCTCACCTTAATGCGCCTTCTCCCTCGCCAGCCGTACCATGTGCAGAGGGGCGCAGGAGAAGGGCCCTGCCCCAGGCACATGGCCCTCTGGCTTCCCAGCTCCGCCCGAGGGGCCTGGCTTGCCCAGTCTTGTGAGCCCCTTGGGCAGGCGTTTCTGGGACAGGGAGTTGCCCTCGCCCTCCTTGGGAAGCAGCAGAAGAATGTTTACATGCCAAACAGAATGTAACAACCCTTGCCCACCCCATCCCAGTCACTGCATGGCCTCTGCCCACCCTGTGGCCCGCCCACTCCCGTGACACCAACACCTTGCAAGACGCTGTCACAACTAGATGGGGTCTCAGAAGGGAAGTGGCCATCACACCATTAAAAAGCCTGTGGACCTTTCTGCTGGCCTGGACTCTTTTTCCCTCTAGGGAGGGCAGGGCAAAAACCGGGCCCCTGAGGGTGGAGGTGGGCAGGAGAGAAGCTACAGGAGGGTGCCAAGTGGGCACAGAGGAAGAGCAGGAAGTTCTGGTCTGGTATAGTTAATTTGTTCAGCGTCTCACACAAGGAAAGGTTGTCCTAGCAAAGCTTGTTCTGGGCTCCTTGGTTGTCTTTGCTGACGGCTGTGGACTCTGTTTGGCCTGGTGCACAGGGAGAGAAAGAAGCAAAACTATCATTGCCCTAAAGGAAGCAGATAGAAGCAGAAAGCATAGCAGCTCAGGGGCAAAGCCATCGTAAAAGCCGCCCCGGCCTGTAGCCCAGACCTCCATACTCCCACAAGTGTATCCTGTGCACACACTTGCGAGTCAGAAGCGGAGCCTGGTCTACAAATCTGAAACACAAGAAGTTCTGAACACAAAGAGTTTTCCTTAGATGGGTACATGTTCATTTGGTATCAAAGTCCAAAGGGAAAGCCAGGTTCTGTGGTCTCATGCCTGTAAGCCTAGTACCGGAAGGACCTAAAGCAGGGGATTTTTGAGAGTTCAAGGCCAGCGTAGGCTAAATGTTCAACTGTCTCAAAAAAGAAAAATAAAAGCCATGGCAAACTTTTTATTTGTTAATTTCACTTATACATGTTTTCAGTAGAATGAAAAAAATTTTTGAGACAAGTTCTTTCCAGGTAGGACAGGCTTGGTTCCAATGTGTCATCCTCCTGCCTCAAATTCAGAAGCTCTGGTATCACAGGCATGTACCACTAAGCTAAAGTAAGGTGAGATATTAATGTCTTTGATTATGAGACACTGCTCTTGACCCTATTTATAATATATGGACTATGCATGGAATTTTCTTCCTTTAAAAAAAAGTATTTCATCTATCTTCTGTGATGTCATTGGTTTTGGTAAGAGATTGTGGACCAGAAAAAGAAATGACTCAAGAGCAATATTAATAGCCATTGGCTGGGGCTGATCGGCAGAGCAAGGTCCACATGTGTGACAGGACTCCAACGTGGGGTAGCGTGAGATCCAAACTGAAGGAAGAGGCCCTTTCCTGTTCTTCTGGGCCAGTGTCCACAACTAAGAAAAAGCCATGCACGAGGCTCCGAGGCTTTGGGGACAGCAAGGCAGTTGGATGCGGAGCGTCTGTGCCCTCCAAGGGGTGGGCTGAATGAGGAGAGGCTGCCGTGCAGAGGGACAGAAAATAGCCTTCGTATTCTGAATCCTAAATCTACCAGAAGTGAATCTGTCGCTTAGTGGACACATACGCAGTTTCTCCCCGGGGCCTGGCTCTGGGCCACACCTGGGGCAGGGAGTAAGACCACACAGGTTTGAAAGCCCAGCCCTTCCAGAAGGTGCTGCTGCTCTTGGAGATCGAGAACTTCAGCCTGCTGGGGCTCCCGCCCTCTAACTTGAATGCCAGTGGGCTCCGGGGCCTTCTGTGGGGCTCAGTGTACTCTCACCTTCCTCCTTGTTTAACATGTCCAGAGCAGGACATACTTATAGTAAATGCTAAAAGCATATATCAAAGAAACGACAACCCCGTGCATGACTCTGGCCATCGAGAGATGACTTGTGAATGGCTTGGTGTATACCATCACAGACCTTTTTTTATGTTTATAACAATGCCTATCTCTCTCTGTCCATATATATTTCTTATAAATAAAAGAGGAACATATTGTACATACTGTTCAGAAATGTGACTTTTTTTTTTTTTTTTTTTTTGGTTTTTTGAGATAGGGTTTCTTTGTGTAGCCCTTGATGTCATTGTCCTGGAACTAGCTCCGTAGACCAGGCTGGCCTTGAACTCACAGAGATCCGCCTTCCCCTGCCTCCCCTGCTCTTCCAGAGGACCTGGGTTTGACTCCCAGAACCCACACGGCAGCTCACAGCTGTCCAATTCTGGGTGACCCGGGGCTCCTCTGTGGTCTCTGCAGGCACCAGGCACACACATGATACAAAGACTCGTGCCGGCAAAACACCTAGACACATAAAACGTTTTATAAATAAAAAGCTTCCAAGGTGCTGGTATGGGTGGAGTGCGGGGGTCTGAGTGAGATCCTTGAACCCACACAAAGCTGGACAGAGCTCCCCCAGTCTCAGCGCCCTCCTGCACTGAGACGGGGCCAGCGAGCCTAGCGGCATCTCCAACAAGGTGGAATTCGAGGAGTAATGTCCGAGGTTGTTCTCTGAATTCCACACAGGTGCCTGAACTCATGCACAAATGCCCACGCACGTCGCATGCACAGACGCACACACAAAGACTTAAATTTACCTTTCAAAACCACACAAGTACAAGCTAAACTAGCCAGGTGTAAGGGCACGTGCCTGTAACTCAGCACCCAGGAGGCAGAGGCAGGCAGAGCTTTGTGAATTCAAGACTAGCCTGGTCTACAGAGTGAGTTCCAGCAGCCCAGCCAGGACAACATAGTGAGACCCTGTCTCAACAAGCCAGTGAATGAATGAATGAACTTTATTTTAGGGAGTCCCTGTGTAGCAACACATATAAATAAGCATGCAATGTATTTTATAGGACACAAAATCATTAAATACAAAGGAAAAAATGCAAGAAAGCAAACAATTGACATTGCCTTGTCAAAGGATCCCTTAACAGAAAACTCCTGAGCTCAATATCCATGCTTCCCAGCTGCCTGGTCTTCCTTTGCTGCGTTGACTTGTGTCCCTCAGGGATGCCAGCGTCTGCTGACCTGACCAGCGTCCGTTCTTCATGGGCCCCTGTTTCTGTCTTGTGTGCTTCTCTATCCACTGTTTGGCATCCGTGAGGAAAGCTGGCCTGTCAAATTTAAATACCAGGCAAGTGTCAGCCATCAGTGTGTCACCAGGGCCGGCTGCTGACGTGAGCGGCTGAATGGATGTCAAGATTTCAGGGGTGAGGGATGGTCTTTGCACACCGTTTGTTGGCAAGTCCTTCAGCCAGAACCAGTTCTTGGATGATTGGGGTCAGAAATCGGATGCATGTGGGGGGGGGGGGTTCAAATGCATGCCTCTCAGGGATGGCAGCTGCCAGCGTGAAATCACCTTCGGCCTGAGACAGGCTGGCTCCGATCCCGCCTTGCTGCTCCTCCGGCTAGCTTGTGATGCGGGGTGTACTCTTTCTTCCGATATGCTGCTCTCGGCACATCTGGAGCAAAAGGAGCCACAGTAGGGGCTTTCCTGCACACCCTCACCTCCCCACAGCAGCATCTGGATGTGCCTCCGGGACCAAAAGGAGTGGACAGCTGAGGAGGACAGGAGCAAGTGTGAGAGCGAGTGTAGCTCGCTGCTCACAGGTAAAAAGCAGGCAGGACAATATGGAGAGTAGAGATGGAGCGGCCCAGCCCCAGGAGGGGTATTGCAGAGGCCCTCTGCTCAGCCCCTTCCCAGGAGCCGAAGACCTGCCCAAGTACCTCTCCTAAATCCAACTTAGCTATAGGGACCACCTGATGTCCACAGACAAAAATCTGCTCTGCTCATCAGAGCTGGCCAGTGGTGGCACACAGCTTTAATCCCAGCACTTGGGAGGCAGAGGCAGGCGGATCTCTGTGAGTTCAAGGCCAGCCTGGTCTACAGAGTGAGTTCCAGGACAGCCACAGCTTTAGAGAAATGCTGTCTTGAAAAACCAAAACCACGCCGGGCGCAGTGGCCCCTGCCTTTGATATCAGCACTCAGGGAGGCTGAGACAAGAGGATCTCTGTGAGCTCAAGGCCAGCCTGGTCTACAGAGTGAGTTCCAGGACAGCCAGGGCTACAAAGAGAAACCCTGCTTTGAAAAACAGAAAGAAAGAGAAAGAAAGAAGAAAGAAAAAGAAAGACAAAAACCAAAACAAAAGAAAGAAAGCATGTGTATTCCTTGTCACTCCTTCCAATTCTTCCTAAGAAAGCTTTCTCTTTTCTGTTCTGTGGTCAAAGACAAGACTGAGACAGAGACCCAGAGAAGGAAGAGGATTAAGCTAGGTCATTTATTCAGGGTCCAGATGGAGGGTGGAGACAAAGAACAGTGGGAGGGGTTTAAAAATAATTATTTTTATTTTACATGTGTGACTATTAATGCCTAGATCTAAATACATGCAGGATGTACATGCAGTTCCTGTGGTCACCAGAAGAGGGCACTGGCTCCCCTAGAACTGGAGTCACCGGTGGTTGTCAGCGGCCTTGTGCACACTGGGAACTGAACCCAGGTTTTCTGCAAGAGACCAAGTGCTCTTAGCCACTGAGCCATCCCTCCTGCCCCAGGAGCTCCTGTCAAGTGGAGGGGACACCCTAGAGAAGAAACTGAGATGTCTCTGATCATCTGATGCATCCGGTGACAGGATCGCTCACACCTATAACCCCAGTACTCAGTAGCTAAAACAGGAGACTCACCCTGGGTTCAGGGACAGCTTGGGCTACAAAGTGAGATACTGTCTTGAAGGAAGGTATGGAGGGAGGGAGGGGAAGGGAGAGAGAGAGGGGGAAAGAAAAGAAGGAGGGAAGGAAGGAAGAAAGAAAAGAGAAAGAAGAAAGAAAAGAGAAGAGAGAAAAAGATAGAAAGAAAGAAAGAAAGAAAGAAAGAAAGAAAGAAAGAAAGAAAGAAAGAAAGAAAGAAAGCAA